ATCAAAGAAGAAAAATAAAAATAAAAATACAGATATCTGTCTTTTTGGTAAAATAGTCTGTAACTTTTATAATCCTGCTTAAATTTTAATTCTACTTTTATATTTTAACAACATCCTGTTAACTTTTAATAATACGACTTATGTTATCTTCATATTATAATATAATGATTTTTCCTGTTAATATATTCGATGATTGATGGAATCAATGGAAATGGTCATTCGACCACAAGGGATGGAGTTTGAATTCTCCATCATGATATGGAATGTCTATAAAAAAGTATATGATAATTGTCATGTTCTATAACTACATAAAATGAATTGGGCAACCTACAATACTCCAATATGATGATAATTTTAACATTATATATATATATATATAATTGAAAAAAAAAATAGAGCTAAAGCTGTCAATTAATGCCAAGTCTATCAAGTCAATCCTTTTAAACTCAAAAAAATTAAAACCAAGCTGCTATTTTAAAGTGTAAAATAATAAGTTAGACTTAAAAAACTTAAAATAAGAGGGTTAGTCCTTTTAAGCTCTTTTATAATTTTTTAATTTTAATATTAAAAATTAAATATTACACTAATTCTAAAGCCATAACCTCATTACATGAAGATGAAGAAGAAATATATGAAAAACTTAATATTTTTTGCCATTGATGGGGCTCCACAAGGATAAGTATGAAATTATATTGATGTTGATGATAATAAAAATTATCAAGATTTAACTGATGATGCTAACAAAATTTTAATTTACATCCTAAATAATTCATTTTTCATCCTAAATAATCATCTAAATCTTAATAAATTAATATACATTTTGAATTTAATAAAAATCTAGCTCAGGGTTTAATTTATAAGTCTCAAATTCAAAGCTCACCAACAAATTTATACTCTAAAATATTTATTATACTACTAACAACCTTAACACCAATATTTATTTAACATAAATTCATCCCTCTTTCAAATTCTAGATTTTTTACCATCACAAATTAGAAATGAAAAGAGCTAGATGAATAAATTTTTTTTTAGAACACTTACTTAATCTTAAAAAGCTTAAAATCTCACTCTAAATATCCTATTAGATTACTTTTAAAATTTAGCTCCATGCACCGACGAACTCGCACTCACAGATGCTCCCTCTATTTGCACACAAAAGAGAAAGGAAATGAAGAGAAAATGAGAAGAGAAGGATGTGCGTATTGGTTTTAAAAAAGTATGGGTCTCACTTTTTTTTGCTTCCTTTTCCTTAGATATATGTATATGTACATCACACTTGCACAATGCGGAAAAACATCTGCCTCCCCCCTTTTGTATTTTTTTTAATTTTTTTTAATTACCCCACACACACATTTACATTTCATTTCCTCAATCTATCTCTATTATATTTCTCTTTCTTATTTCCTAATAAGATAATATAATAATAATAATATAATAATAAATTTTAAAATCTTAACTTAAAATTATATCCTAAGTTAGATCTAATAATCATCTTCTACTAATTTACTTATCTCTAAATATTCTTCAAAATTTCTATTAACCCAGATTAATTATTAAAATTTAAATTGGAATGTTACAGTCTCTCTCAGTTTTTTGAACTGTTTTTATGTATTTTAAAAGACTAACTTTGAAAATTATGCTATAGTGTAAATTTTAGGGAGAATGAAAAAAAGGTTCCAAAAAAAAACTAGTTTATAATCCAAGTTAGGTTTCAAGTGTCAAACTTTAAAAATTTACAATTCAATCTCTTAATTTACAAGTGTATTATAATAAATTGTAACTTGTTTTTTAAGTTTTAACATAGTTAAAGAATAAAAAAATTATTGTATTTTATCAAAATTTGAAATACAAGTTTGCAAATTCATCTAATGGAGTTGCAAAATTAAGAGATTGAGTTTGTAAATTCTTAAAGTTTGGTAATTGAAACCTAACTTAAATTAATTAGTCCTTTTGAAACTTTTCTATCTTTCTCTCAAATTTTTATGCTGCAACGTAATATACAGCGAGCTAAAATCTAATTTTTTCTCTACAATTTGAACTTGGGTGACCCAATTCACTTTCAAACCCAATCTAAAGACTAAAGCAAAACCCAATAGCCATCTTTCACTATTTTTAAATTTAATTATACTTCAATTTACATAACTACTCTTCATTAGATTATAAATTATAGGAAAAACTTTTGAGATGTTACATCTACTTTGGGTACAACGCTTCTAACTTGAGTGCATGTATTTTTGACTTGAGTACAAGGGAATGGCTTAAGGCAGTGCTATGTGTAATTCAATGGGCAAATACACCCCTTGAATTTGAAAAAAAATTACAAGAGGTTATATGTTTTATTATTTTCACCTTTGGCCTAAATATTTTGTACTGTTTAATCTAACTTTAAAAATGTTTGGGTTTCAAAAAATTTTAAACATGCTCAGCTGAAACCCCAAAAAAAAAAAATTGCACCTCCTAACCCAAAATTTTGACACCACCACAAATTTAAGGTACAAGAGATCTGACTTAAAGAACATTTCTATCATTTATTTATATTATTTAATAAATAAAATATTTAACTTGATTCTTGAATTCAACTTAATTTTTAGAAATAATTTTTCTTTTAACGTAATCTTTTCATCAATTCTCCCTTTTTTTTTTGAAAATGGATTAAAAATCCATGATTGCACGTGAAGGGCAATGGTACAGTTTGGCCCCACAAAAAAAAAAAAAACAGAAGAGCAATGGTAACAGTGCCTTGTGCGCATAGGGATGCCCGTGAGCCTAGTCGCCTCTCACGCATTTACACAGTGCTGAAGATTCTCCCTTGAAAACGACCATTGCTATCATGTTACGGGTGGCGATATCCATTTTTTGTCCCGAGGATAAAACTAACGAAGCATCATCCATCACATGCTACATCAAAGAAGAAAAATAAATAAAAATACAGATATCTGTCTTTTTGGTAAAATTAGTCTGTAACTTTTATAATCCTGCTTAAATTTTAATTCTACTTTTATATTTTAACAACATCCTGTTAACTTTTAATAATACGACTTATGTTATCTTCATATTATAAATATAATGATTTTTCCTGTTAATATTTCGATGATTGATGGAATCAATGGAAATGGTCATTCGACCACAAGGGATGAGTTTGAATTCTCCATCATGATATGGAATGTCTATAAAAAAGTATATGATAATTGTCATTTCTATAACTACATAAATGAATTGGGCAACCTACAATACTCCAATATGATGATAATTTTAACATTATATATATATATATAATTGAAAAAAAAATAGAGCTAAAGCTGTCAATTAATGCCAAGTCTATCAAGTCAATCCTTTTAAACTCAAAAAAATTTAAAACCAAGCTGCTATTTTAAAGTGTAAAATAATAAGTTAACTTAAAAACTTAAAATAAGAAGGTTAGTCCTTTTAAGCTCTTTTATAATTTTTTAATTTTAATATTAAAAATTAAATATTATACCACTAATTCTAAAGCCATAACCTCATTACCTGAAGATGAAGAAGAAATATATGAAAAACTTAATATTTTGCCATTGATGGGGCTCCACAAGGATAAGTATGAAATTATTGATGTTGATGATAATAAAAATTATCAAGATTTAACTGATGATGCTAACAAAATTTAATTGTTATCAATGTTGATTTTATGATGTTGTTATTTCATTTATTAAACTAAAATATATTATTGTGTGTATTAACTTAAATTTATTTTTCTAGACTTAATGTTATATGTATTAATTTTTTTGAGATTTTAAATATATTTTTTAATTCTCAATTGAAAAATAAAAAAAATGTAGGGCTAAGACCTTAAGGGTTGGCTCTTTAGCTCTAGAGGCCATGGCTAAATTGATAAAAATAAAGTCATGAGATATAATTAAGTTTAACAATATTAGCCTGTTTAAACCTTTAACTTTTAAAGGTTGACTTTTTAGGACAAGCCTAGCTCTAATTAGAGCAACTAATGGCTTGGTGGTGGCTTACCTAGAAATAGTGTCATTATTTAAGCATATCATTTTGGAGGTGTTCTTCACAACCCTATCCATTACTTAGACTAATTATTATTTGCACAACATGGGCACGCTTTCAAGCTTCACTCGAGGAGTCGTTGAATCAAATACATTCTGCTATTGCGTTGCTTCAGTGGTTTCTACTTTGTGAAATGCTGGCCAAGAATTTCAACTTTGACTAAACTTCACTTTTAACGCTCTCGTCGTTAATACATTAAGCAAACATTTTGAGTGTTGCGATCGAGTCAAAACAAGAAAAATCGAATACATGAAAAATTTATAAGAATAAACTGGAAGATATTATTAGAATATAATTCTGATGTACTCCGTTTAGAATGCGTTGCTATGTTGAAAAGGGAGATCATATGCATTGAAATGAATTGGAGTGGAGGGGAAAACAACTGGAGATTTGATAGTACGTGCTTGACCTAGAACTTGAAGATGAGGCATATTTTGTGCGCGCTAAATTCAATGGCTAGATAAGTCAGAGGGGAAAAAAAGTAAGTGGACAAGAAAAAAATTTCATTACAAATAGCATTTCCTTTGAGCCGACAGCGTATCGAGCTTCATTTTCTTCCCATTTTATTTAGATACCAAACACTGGTGCAACTTATCATGTAAAATGCCAATGATTTTAACGTAATTTCTGGTTGCTACAATGCTGGACAGTTTTTCATTTTCTAAATTAATCTTCTCTGTTCATACATGCATTTGAAGGGAAAAAAAAAACCATTACATAACAGAATGTAAGCATGTATAGCCCGATTTCATAATTAATTACACTCACCTACTCTATTTTTCTTCATCTCTCCCCAAATCTATCATCTACATTTACTTTTATGAACATAGAGGGTCTACCAAGCCCGCAAAGTTACTTCAAAACATGCGAAAAATCCAATTCAAATCTTCTGCGAGATATTAAATTGTTCTTTCGCATGATTCTCTTCTAAGTGCATAAATACATGACCATGTGAATTTAATAGAGATATCGGGCTGTCCCCGCCTTAATATTAACAATAAAAGTCAGAACATAGGTCATTGACTAAAAATATGCATTTACAAAGAAGGAAGATCGGGCTATTTTAACATACAATATATGGGTTTCCACCTGAAAATGGCCAAAATTTTCCCATGTCTCTTGCTCAGCAATGTCGTACAAAATTAATTAACGAAAAAAACGGAAAGTAAATGAAGTGATGGTGAACATCTCTTTATTACCTTTCGACAGAAACTAAACTTGAAAGGAATCAAGCATGGCCTTCAGAGTCTTTTGAGAAGTTGGCCACTGCTTATCATTAGCACTGGCCACAAACAAAACAACGGTGTTTCCCTTCGCTGTTGCTTTTGCAAGATTGTGTGACCCCGTGAGTGCATATGGAGTTTCAAGTGCATATTTGTAGTACTGCAGAGAGTGAAAACCATGTTAATGAACTCCACACACACACACAAACACTTTGCAACGATGTCAATGTGACCAGCGTGAAGTTCTTTGGTATGTACTCCAGTCAATTTCCTCTGGTAATTAGAATATAATCAATGAAAACAAGAATGATTGTACCGTTTGATCACCAAGCTTTTCGACAGCAGTCTCAAGCAGTTCATCTGGATCAAATGTGTTTCCAGTGACAAAAGGGCCCAGAGAAGCAATCACTTTATCTGGACTCCCTATGTCTTCAATGGATGCATTTGGTTTGTTCGTTAGGCGTATCAAAGGAGAAGCCACCACCTGGACTTTCCCCTGTTTTTCATCTTCAAATTTAACCTCAATCCAGGGCTCTGCACATTTTGGCTGGCAATAATTTCCAGATAATATATTTGCTACTCGTGTCTGCTTCCAAGTTGGAGGAAGTATAAATTGGTAAGGCTGTACGTTTCCTGCAAAGAACTAAATCTAGAGTATCATTCAAAAAGAACAATAATAAATGAGGTAGAACCCCTAAGATGCAGTTTGATATCTCAATTTCATTGAATAATTCGGAATGTAAAGCAAAAGCATGATGCAAGCCACAGATTGGTAACATCTCCTAGCTAACCACAACTCCTGCAATTCCCATGTTTTGCTGGTAAAAGCTCCCGTGTAGTTTTAGGAAAAACAGCTCCAAACTACCTTGCTGATGACTGTTGGACTAAAAATAGTTTACCAGTACAAAGAATCTGATCTTTCACATGTATCTCATTCTAGGGATGAAGATTTTGTGAATTCGATTTCCATTATGGTAACAGCTCAGCAAACTTCAATTCCACAAGCAACTTTGATTTAAATTAGTGATGCAATTCTCTACCATAGCCTCCACAAGCAATGATACAAATACTGGTTTTAAAATGTGCACACAGAAAGAATCATAATTTACAGTGATCGCATCCTAAGGGATATGCCGTGGCGATATCTAAATGGCAAAAGGGAAAGAGGTAACCACTATATGTCGCTGAAAATGACAACAACAAAAGCAAGATACTGATGGGCCTTCTAGGGGGAGGCATCAAACTCTTGAAAGTGTGAGAACCAAAAAAGGGCGAAAAAACAGGACTGTCATAAAAATCGCTGCTAGACGTAGATGACTAGCAAGTAGCAACATTTTACTCTCCACCCCAGCATTAACTATGTTAATTTCTCAACATGTAACAGAGAAGAATCTCATAGTCGTAGATCACATAACATAGCCAACGGTACAAAACAGACACCCAGTTAGCAGAGTCAGGGCTTTTTTTTTTTTTATTTTATTTTAACGACCACCAAGTTATTTGATGCCTCTATGTGAATCACAATATTGTAGAGCACAGGTAAGCATAATAATACTAGTTTCTTCACGCACATCCTAACAATCAACGCTAAGGTTTGCAGCACGGATCTAAGAAAATAATCAATGTACCTGCTCGAAGGGCGGGAGTGTCTTTTGGAGAAGCTTTAAAGAGAACAAGGACGGGTCGGAAGGTGAGGGTGGAAGGAAGGAGCCAACCTCAACTTCTTTAGCGAGAGACGGGCATGAATCCTTCAGTAAGAGAAGGGGAAGCGCTTGCAATCCAATCCCTTTCAAGAATTCTCTTCGCGGAGGGTGTTGAGGGCGACTAGCAAGAATTGGATCTGAAGGCTCAGTGGCCGAGGCTCTGAATGCACGGAAAGGCGAGTACCTTACAGAAGAATAAGATGAACCTGAGACTACGGAGGGAAGAGAAGCTAGTGAGAAGGTCGCCATGCGAGACTGCGAAAGCAAGAGGGCTCGCAGTTTTTTTGTACGCGAAAGAATGACCTGTGGCCGGCGGCACTTCTCTTATCCATACAGTAAACAGTAAACTTTCAGCTCGTAATCCTCAACCCACATCGAAACTAATGTACTTTTATTAAATTTAATAAATAATTTAACTTTTTAAATATGTTTTTATTAAATATAAATTAAAAATCAAACACATACCTTATTGTTTACATTTGATATTTCCCACCCTCGTTGCAACCAAGTTGGAAGCCCTCTTTGGCAGCTAGGCTGAGGGGGTATGGAATCTGCACTGTTTTGATTAATTTCAAAGGTGCAAATTTAATGTTTTTCATCTTTTTATTTTACATTTTTTAAATAAAGAATTATATAAATGATAAAAAAATTTAATGAATTTATTCAGTTGTATGGATGTCCAAGTTTAATATGAATGTACACATTTAATATTAATTTTTTTATAAATTAACTTTTCAAATATAATTTGAATAATGCAGATTTAATATTAAATTTTTTTACAATTTTTATAAATTAAATATGAATTATTTATATTTAATTTCAACAATGTAAGCTGGTGAACAGATTTATTAAAACATTTTACAATTTATATAATTTTAAATATTAAATCCAAATCAAAGAACACCTGTCCTACAAGTAAGATTCCTCACCTCTATTGGGCTTCTCGCCATTGCAACCAATGAACATCTGTCCAACTGATCAGTTTGGATGGATGGAAATAATAAAGTAGTATCAATCTCAACAATAATATAGGTATAGAAGGGTGGGATTGGGATTGGTATCAGGCAATCCTACCTTTTCATATTTAGTATAGGGTAATGAAAAATTTAATCCCAATCCCAATCCCTTCAAAGTGGGATTACTTAATACCATCCACCCCTTTAGTATTAGAAAATCAATCTTGGGATTGATTATTTTTTGGCCAAAATGCCCTCCACCCTATCCCTCTCTCGTCTCTCCCTCTACTCTCTAACCTCCACCCTACCTCACAGCCACAACGAGGGCGTCGACGGCAGCCACACACAAGCACAATGTTGACAGCAGCCACACATAAGCACAACGCCGACGGCAACACACACAGGCACAATGCTAATGGCAGCCACACATAGACATAATGGCGATTGAACGACGTCTCTCAGTTCTCATCTCACTTTGTCGATCTCCATCACTTCATCGATCTACATCACCAATGAATAAGTGGCCTCATCCATTGAAAACCAGAAACCCATTTGCATCGCTGGTCACTGGTAAGTAGATCTTTATCACTCCGTTGGTCTACCTGAAAACCAGAAAAGGAATAGTAAGAAGACAAAGAAGAAGAAAAAGAAGAAGAAGAAGAAGATTGAGCGTGGCAGAGAGAGCAGAGGGAATGGCCTTGTGCGCTGCTGTGCTCTTTGGAGGAGATGCAGAGAAATTATAGATGTGCCGTCGTGCTCTCTGGGGGCGTGCTCTCTGTGGAAGAAGGGGAGTAATTGTAGACGCGCCGTCGTGCTTTTTAGGGAGGAGGGTAACGCATTAGCTAGGTTACAACTTTTTCTTTTTATTATTTTAAGGGTATTATAGTCTTTTTATGATTTATATTTAATTATAAAATAAAATATAGGTAAGTATTCCTTATAAATATTACTCCACACCAAACATAATTTTAAAACTTCATTCTCAATTTCAGCTTTAATCCCAATTATAATCTGAGTTTCAATCTCAATCCTTTTAAATTGAAGTTGTGTATCAAATAGGGCCTAAAAGTTTATCCATTCTATGTTGCTTAGCCCATCGAATCTATGTTAAATGATTATTCTAAGAATTTTATTTCGCTATGATGGTAAAGCTGGCCACTAAATTAGACGAAGTAAAGAATTCAAGAACTGAAGTGCACGGATAACTTTTGGAGTTTTTAATTTATCTGATTAATAAATTAAACCCAATAGGGAAAAAAAATAAAACATGTATTTAATCTTGAACCAAACTACGCTATGCTAAATTTTTGAATGCAATTCTCTAACGTTTACCTTCATCCATGACTCTCGAATATTATTTAATATGAAATTAACAAGACATTAGTTTAAATTATATTTAGAATTAGAATCAAATAAATTAAAATTTCATAATAAGATTTATATTTTTCAACAAAAAGTTTACATGTATAATCTCGTACTGACACCAAAAAACAAAGAATGAAATGTCTCTTTTGTGCATGGACAGAGTTCACAACTCTGTTGGTCAACCCTACATCCATCTAATGCACAAAACAGGAGCTCTGTTACCCCCATTCCGAAAACGAAACTCAGGTCAAGTGAATAAATAAATCATACAGCTCTGTCAAAACGCTTGATTGGAGAAAGGGTCGGCCTCAAGCAGTCACCCGATGGGGGGAAGCACGAGGAAGAACACACGAATATGTTACATACTTGATGCTGTCCACAAGCACAACCACAAATATTCTAGAAATCGATTTCGGCGTTATCATTCCATCAATATCTCCAGCTTCTTTAGGATCAACAAGCACAGAAACCACCATGGAAGACTTCGACTTATTACCAAGGAAGTTGTCATTCAGTGCATTTTGTCCTCCTTGTTCTTCACCTGCGTTGCTGCTGGATCCAGCAAGTGGGAGCCTGTGTAGAATTCTTCTATTCCTACTTTTGCTAAGACGAGTAGCATTTTGGTTGTTCCCTTCAGAAACATTGGCGGCTGATGGTGCTGGCACAATAGCTCCTTGTGTTGATGAGATATCAAATTGGAAAACTTCTGTGCACATGCCAGAACCTAACATAGGCCCTGCATTAGCAAATCAAAACCCGGGTCATGCTACGAAGTGAAGATAACCAGGGTCATGCGCGGACTTAAAAGCAGTAACATATGGACCAAGCACCGATATCAACGCAATGAAGTGCAATGTGCAAACACCTTTTAGGTGTGGGACTAATTCAGCTTGTGGCTGTATCTTCCCACAAAAGCCTCTTAGCGAGCTCAAGCCACTAACATTGTAGAGGGCTAGAGGCCCCTTAATCCCTCAATCACTAGACTCAGGTAAATGTAAATCCTACCACTTGAACCCGGGAAGAACCCATCTATAGCAGCCGTTGGTAGATAGGCAATGAAATTTTGAATCTAAAAGAAATTGTCAAATTTCATCCCAAAATGAAGAGACAAAACATTAATTTTCTAATGAACATATTATTGGAAATGCGTACGCTTAAAATATTCTGATGTAAAAAATATAAAGAACTGCATCTAAATCTAATCCTCAAATCATTATCCAAGAAACTTCGCAAGTGGATGACCTTGTTTATTTTCTTGAGCCAATGGGTATTAAAGGATACAAAAGCTACAAATCTACGCAAACTCACTAGAGACCCAGAGTAAGGGCGCAAAAACAAGCTCAATTGAGACTCCAAAGATTCAAACTGCTAGTTTACGAAGTCCAGAAGATTATTCAAGATTGTTGACAACTTCTATGAGAAGTCTAATTTCATAGATCATAATCATCAAACAGCATATTCCCGTCAAGGAAATCCGAAGTGCAAATTAGAGATTCCAAAAAGCACTTAGATGGCATCTATTAATTAACTATAACAATCAGAAAAATTCTTACCAGCTCGTGTGGTACTCCTGAATGGCGATATTGTCCTTATATAATTATACTATACATGCTACCATATCCAATTTAAACAGCAAAACACGGACGCAAGCAATCATCAAAACAAAATGCATCAATCATGTTTAGTAGCCCATACGGATGGAAATTTAGAAAAATGAAGAAGAACTAGAATAGGTAATTGCAAAATCACCTGCAAGACCTTCCCGGAACCATTGTTGGATTTTACGATCAGACGAAGTTGACCTCAGATGGTCCTTCAAATTTTCAGCTGAACCATGTGGAAGTGCCTTCCTCTGTTCAGCTGGATTCCTATACAAGTAAGGATGTAAGCCTCCACTTATTCCAACATCTGGAACAGCCAATGCAGAATCCCAATATTTAGAAATTGCCAAACGAGTTTCTCTTTTATCATTCTCTGCGATATGAGCAGTGTGAGATGCCATAGCTTTCTCACTGGCCATGACAGAATTGATTATCAAATTCCCATCAATCTTCACCAGCTTATCATTCCTAGGAACATACAAAGAAGCAAAAAGAGGCTGACTATTATTGCTCAAATGAACAAATCCATCTGAATCTGATTTATACACTGAGTCCTGCTGATTATGCGTTTCCTCGCCAAGATTCCGGCCTCTCTCACCAGTCATCCTGTCAAAAACACTGAATCTTCCACTAGAAGACCCAACTCCTTTGTATCCTTCAGACCTATCCGTAGGGCCATTCACGGGCCAGACTTTCCCTCCGAGCTGACCATAGAACCTATCGCTCACATACCGCGACCTCCCATAAGTATCGTCCACTAAACCATCAAACTTAACATTCACAAGGGGAGCCAATCCACCAAAAAGCAAGACAAAGAAAAACAAACCCAGCAAACAGACGCTGGCAACCTTTTTAGTTTTACCCTCGGATTTCTTACGGTCGGACATTTTACTTCTTGAGGCCGCTGGCTGTTGCTGAGACTTTAATCTCGGAATTGGTACCAAAGGAACATGAGACCCTAGTGGGTTGACAACGTAGGGGGCATACGGCGCCCAAGAGTAAGGCATGGTAGGCATCGGGGGATGGGTATACATCCCTGAAGCAGGAGGCGGTGGACACGTTCCACCAGCATTCAGTCGCTGTCTCAAAGTGGCATTCTCGGCCATAAAGAATGATATCTTGCTACTCAAATCGGCAATGGTGGAATTCATTGATTTCACCTTCTCCTCAAGCTCCTCTACATACTGCTTCTTTCTCTGCCTAGAAAGCTGGGCACTTTCCCGATTCCTCATCAACCTAGCCTTCCTTTTCTCGACGTCCTCATTGATAATACTAACACCAGGTTCTCGAGTCACATTCTCCATAGGCGTCGACGACCTCCGGTGCTTAGAAGTTCTCTCCCCAGTATTTCCTCCATTGTTTTCCATCTTCCTCTTCAAATCAGAGACCTTCCCGGTTTCCTCCAAATTCAGGTTCTCGTCACCAATAACCTGAGATGTAAAATCTATGTCGTGTCGACTCGGTGAAGGTGAATCCATCACGTCAGAAACACCTGACCCACCGTTACGCGAACCCTGAGACGAAACGGGCCCGTCCAAAGATTCGCGGTCGCAAGAATTGGACTTCGGCAATTGGGAGTTCGAAACTTTAACCTCCTTTGAGCCGTGCGAATTCTGATCGCCTGAATTATCCAAACAAGTAGGCGGATAAGACTGCCAATTCGAAAACCTAGCGACATCGAAAGTCGGATTGCAATCGCAATTAGCTAACTCATGACGATCATCATGAATCTGCGACTGCGAGGGAGGAATGACAGATGCGTCGTCGAAAAGGAATTCGTCAACATTTAGGGGAAGACGGAGATTCTCGGGATCGTCGAAGGTAATCTCGAAATCGTTATCCAACCCGAAGTCAAAATCGGAGAGAACTGCATCAGAAAACAAGGTATCGTCGTTATCGGCGAAAAGAAGAGAATCCAGAGGTGGCGTAGGGAGGTCAGTGACGTGCGCAGTGAAATCAACAGAGCTCATATCAGGAGACGATAATGGGACAGCCATGGTGAGGGAGGAGAGCCCGACCCCGATAGGGAAACAACAAAAGACTCGATGGCGTGTTAATGAACAGATCCAATGATCGATTCCCCCTTGCTCTTCAGCGAACAAAGGGTAGGGGTTGATGAAGATTTGACTGTTGATAAATTGATTTTCCGATTACAGACTCTGGAACCTTCCTGTCTTGTTGCAAGGCTCGCTTCCAGGTTCGTCTCAGCTTGATGATATCAACAGTTCAGATTTTGATTTGGATATTTAAAATATTATTATATATTTTTTTATATATATATTAAAATAAAAATTTATAAAATTATAAAAAATTAATTTTTTTATTAATCTGGTTTATTATTAATTTGAAGGGTTAAAATTTTTTATAATGTGATCCAATATTTATTATTGATATAAATCAAGTTTTTGAAAAATTGAGAGTATAGTCAATTTACATGAATTTATTATTAAAAATTTTAAAATTTATAAAAATTTATTATTAATATATAACAATATATTATTAATAAATATAATAAACTTGTCACAATATAAAATATAATGAATACTAAGTTGTTTGTTTGGTTTAATCTTATATCATAAATTATATATATAAAAGCCTCATTTATTTTCTATCAACTGAAAATATTTATATAAAAATTAAAAAACTTAAATTCAAAAGTTCTTATTTACTTGAAATTAAACTTTGAATATTGGTGGAAGACAAAAAAGTTAGCAAAAGAGAGGTGAAAGAATTATAAAGAATTACATTTAATTCCTTTTAAAAAATTAATTATAAATAATAATTAATCATATCAAGTTTTATATTTTAATAACAATCTATTTTGTATTAATTTTTATTTATAAATTTTTTTTTGAGGAGAGCTGAATGTGATTCTTGCAAAAGAATATACTATAATTTTTCTTAATTTATTCTCCATCAACTTTAAATAATTATATAAAAATTAAGAAAAACTTAAAAATTATTATTTACTTGAAATTAAACTTTAAATTTGATCTGATTATTTTGTTAATCAATATCAATATCAATATCATTAATTCAATTCAATTGTTAAACCAAAAATCAATATAACAATTTTGTTGGGAAAAACTATGAAAATTTAATTTAGAGAAATAGCAATCTACCTAAAATTTCTACTGATAGCACGTACATATTGATACTCAACTATTATCTATAAATATTATTATAAAAATAAAAAAATTTAAGTTTAATTTAAATCGTCAATAATTATATCGTAATTTTAGCCATTTAAATTGTGCATATTTCACCATGGATTTCACGCTTCGTCTTTTCACATTGAAGAAGTTAGGCGGAAACAATTCAATGCGAATACATATTTAATTCTTTGACCATACCTACGCATATATACATAAAAAAAATATATCTCTTTCCTTCTTGACGACGAAGAGATAACAGTGTACTTTTTTATGCGTCTAAGTCACAAATCCTTTTCTTCCTTCTAACCTTTCCTTCCCTCGTTCATAGCGAGGGATTGTAGAAAAGAAGAGGAAGAAGTTTCGGGATTGAATTTTTGAAGATTGTTCTTAGCCATGGATTCTTCATCTGTTTCAATCGATGGGACTTCTGGGTTGAAAGACAAAGAGTCAATGGTTGACCCCTTCTTGGTTGAGGCTCTCCAAAACTCTCGTCACCGTCTAACCAGTCAGTATCCCCTGCACCCTTTTCTGTTTCTATTTAAATCTCGTGCTGTTGACTCTGATTTGTGTTGTATCGGACATGATATTTGGGTTTTCGGTTATTAGATTGTCCCGATTTATGGGTTTTATATGAAATCCTTGTTATAAATGTCTTGAGCTTTCGGTCTCTCTCTCTTTTTTAATCTTTTCTCTTCTCTTGATTCTCGCCATCGAATAGAATATCGGCTTAGGCTTTGGATAAAATCCCGCGATTTTGTCTCGGCCATGTATTTGTTTGATTGTGTCTGATCTGGAATGCTTCCCGTGGTTCCCTCCGTCCTCTTGATAGTACTGTTAGTATAAAATAGAGACTCCCGAATTTGAGGTAAATGTTGAGCTTGCTGATGCTGGGAGTACAATCTTACCCTCGGGGCCAGAGAAACAGGCTTCAGAGATATTATTTAAAATTTAGGGCGACTGAGGGCCTGAGGGCTTTGAAGTCCACACCGTCTAGGATGCTGCTTGATTAATGTAATTCAAACTCACTCCTGATACAGAGCATCCATAACTTAATCATCCAAAAGATACAATGTTGACCATTCATGATCCCAGATATAAATTTTGTTGAAATAATCCAGGAGTTAGGTCAGAAAAGAAAGTTATCTTAATAATATCTGGGGCATGTGGTTGGGTTTTTTTTCTTATATTTATCTTAATAATCTATTCGGGGCCTCCTTCTGGCTTAGATTATGTCTTGTTGTTGAGCTTCTTGCATTCCAGGGCTTTGTTGGATTTTTTTCTCTAAATTATTTCTTGTGTTTTCATATACTTTGAAGTAGTAGGCCTTGCACACACGATCTTCACCTGATAATTTTGATTTTGATTGTGCTGTGGTTCTTTTCTTTTGGTTTTCTCCGTTCTTTTGATTTTGATTATGTACTGATTTGCTCCACACGTCTAGTTTTGCGGATGGAACTTGATATCCAAAGGTTTCTGAATAATGCTGATCAGCAGCATTTTGAGTTCCAACATTTCCCTTCTTCCTATCTCCGTCTGGCAGCACATCGTGTTGCTCAACACTATGGTATGCAAACAATGGTTCAAGATGGTTTAGACGGCCGGGGAAATAAAATTGTGGTAAGGAAGTTGGCAGAAAACAGGTATCCTGTGGTTTGCTTATCTGAAATACCTGCCAAACATATAGAAACTGATAAACTTGAGCAGATTAAAATTGCCACAAGACCTAGACCCTATAGAGCCAATGTAAATGAAGCCAATGAAGCTGGGAGAGCTGGAAATTTTATGAGAAGTGTGGAAGTGAGGAAAGAGGAATATGATCGGGCACGAGCTCGCATCTTTAGTAGATCTAGAAGTCCTGATTTGAATGATACACAGTCAGATATTTCAATGGATGGAAAAGGTTCTTGTATGAACAAAGATGAAATTGAAGTTAGCAGGAATTCCATTGCAGATTCTGAAAAATACAATAGTGTGAGGGACATAGGTTCTACTCGAGTTGCCATTTTCAGAGACAGGGAAAAGGATCGTAGTGATCCTGATTATGACCGTAGCTACAGAAGGTGAGTTCTGCCTCTACATCTTATTGTTTGGTAGCTCACCAGACAATGATGCCACAGTTTCAATTTGCAAAGCAACTCTTGTCTAGCCATATTTTGTTGTGTTGTTTTTGCTTGAAAACCTTTGCCGTCTCTAATATCAGAATGCGTTTTGTTGCTTTACTTGTATTTATAGGCCAATTGCTATCATCTTGTAAAGTTGAAAAATGAAAATAAATAACTGTCTTGTAGTGTCTGTATGTGGGAGGGAGGGAGACGTCCGTGGGTCAAATCATCTCTGATGGGGGTGGGATTCAATTACTGTTGTAGAACTTTTTATGTTGAAAGATGTGTTATGTTTCTTCTTCGTTTAAAGTTTTTGTCACTATCCGGTAGCTGAAGTGGCTCTAATTGGGTTTATTTTTTAGCATGGGACGAGTTTATTTATCTCATTGAAACCCTTCGCTTGTGCAGATATGCTAGGAGCACTCCAAACTCTGTTCTCAACTTGGTGCCTTATAATTTGCCAAAAGTTGAGCCTTCGTTTGGTCAGTATGACCCCACCTTTAATCAGATGGGTCATATTTCACAAACTCAAGCTTCACTTGGCTATGCACCCCCTACGACCCATCTAAGTCCCTTTGGCGCCACAGGAGTGAATCAGACATCTGGGAATGCTGCTTACCTACAGTGGCCAAGTGCTGCTATGATGTATGCTCATACATATGACCAGTTTAGACATGCTGTTTACCCGGTAAGCCAGTGTTAATTCTATTATTCCATTATATTTGATGAGTGATTTATGCCTTTAAGCTTTGAAATGCCAGGACACGCTAGAAAATATGATTATGTCGCTTTACATTGTTTGGACTTTGTACATATGTTTTAGCACGTGAGTTCTTCGGGCGTGCACTCTCACCATGCATCTCGTTCTCTTGACGTGCAGGCACCATTTGGTCAGCAACCATTGAGCTTTGACTATTCGCAGAACTACTAGATATTGATTGGGTGGAGGAATTATGGATTTGCTTGCATGGACAAGTTAGCTTAGCTTCAGGTTTAGGTTAATTTTTTCATTTCTGTCGTGGACGCTTGTATCAATTGTTGCAGGTTCCCTTTGGATTTTCAGTTTTGATGGCCATAGTAAAGCATATATGTTCCGTGTTTCTAGCGAGACTTTTTTTTCATTCTTATATATATATATATATATATATTGGGGTTGGGGGGGGGTGTTGTTTCAATTGGGGTTACTGAATTTGAAATATGCGAAAGTTTCTTCGGCTTTGCGTTTGAAGGGATTGAATGAAATGACGAATATATATATTGATGTGCGTCCGGCTTAGAGGCTTGAGGAAACGAATGGGAGGAGGCAGAGGCTTTGTAGTAATACGGTGGATGCAGTTGTCAAAGAAACGTTAATTAATTATGCCTCATTTGGCATATAGAATTGTTTTTCGTGAAAGCAGAAGTGAAAGTGAAAGTAAAATTTAAAAATATGTTTGGTAAACTAACAAAAGTGGGGTAAACATTTTATTTAATATTGTATTTATATTTTAAAAAGATCAAGATACCCCTGAAAAAAGCTAGATTTAAATCACCTACACCAGAAGCATAGCCCAAGCAAATTGCCATGGAAAACCACCATTTAAAAACAAAACAAAAACCATCATCGAGGAAGAAAAGAGGAGGAAGATGACTACCATACTCAATCAACAAAGCATTCAAACGTTATATAATAAGATCAGATTTCATAAAGCAAAACTAAAAGTCATGAAATACATTCAAACACATATCTGAAATGCAAAAGAAGAAGATAGAGATCTGTAAGCCGAATCTGTGATGATATACTTGGACAAAGTTTGTGGTGGAATGGTCACATAGTTAATATTTGGAGGGAGAGGGAGAGGAGGATGAAGTTTAGACAGAGTTTCCAATGGAGAGTGGTTGTAGTTGCACAATAAAGATCTGGAGGAAGAGGATGCTGAAGTTTGAACGGAGTTTGCGAAAGAGGATAGCATAATTTATTACACACACAGTGAAAATTGGTTGCAGATTTTCTCACCAATTGAGGAAAAGGACGAAGAAGTTCGAACATCGAAAGATCAGTGCCATTGTTGAAGATCTAGAGTATGTGGTGGAATGTGCTCCTCCATCTTCAATGTTTCAAGGAAAGAGGATGTCAAGGCAAAAAGGTCAACAAGTGGAGTCTCATAGAAGTGGAACCCAATTCCTTGAGTTTAGGTATGGAATCTAATTCCATCAAATTTGATGGAACTCAATTCTTCTAGAAGTTTCTTCATGCATACCAAACAAATAAAATTTTAGCTTCCATTTCTAGTTTCACTTTCTATCTTCAACTTCTTGCTACCAAAGGGAACCTTAAGGAAAAGTGGCAGTGAGAAGTGATTCGCTTGAAGGATTATAGATCAGGAGCTATTTAAAATTTGAAGTTTCAAAAGTATTTAGAGTTAGAATAAAAAAACATATTTTTAATTATTTTGAAAAGTTATTTTGAGTAACTTTTAAAAATAATTTAATGTGGTAATCGAGAAAAAGTGTTTTAAAGAGATGAAATATGCGAAGATATTATAAAATTTTAAAGTAATATAACAATAAATAAAATAAAAATTAAGAAGACATCATAAAATTTAAAAATAACTAACTAATAGTCACTTTTTATTACTGTAATTAAATGTAAAATAATATATGCTTTTTACAAAATCACTACAAAATAAATATATATTTATAAAATCTCTAAACCACTTAAAAATTACTTATTTGTTAATCTTTAATGAATGAGCCCTAAGTTGAGGAATTTTATTTTATCTGGTCCGACTAGTTACAGTTCAAACTGACAATGGATAAAAAATTAAGAAAAAATTATATATAGATCCTGTAAAGCAGACTTATTTACAAATAAGTCTCACCAAATTCAAAAATCACATTCAGGTGCCTTAGAATTGAGTATAATTTAAATTGAGATAAAAAGATAATAATACCTCTATTAAATATATATACTTCTCCGTGCAAAAATGTAAGGTGTTTTTAGTTTTTTCAGGTGTAATCATTACCTTTTTTCAAAAATGCTCATATTGATAAATGAATTTCTATTTATTGTAGAGTATTTAATAAAAATAAATATAAAAAGTTATGGTTAGTTTGAAAGTAGATAATTACTTTATTGAGGGGTGAGATTTGGTTAAAAATGCCTTACATTTTTTAACGGAGGCAGTGCATTACATTAATCAAATAATTTATAACTGTTTCATTAATATTTTATAACTATAATTTTAATTTTTTATAATTATAACTTCACACATTAATAATTAAACAATCATATGTTATTAACGAAGTTTAATATTAATTATTTATAAGTATTTTATCAATAATTTATAACTATAATTTTAATTTTTTATAATTGTAACTTCACATATCCAATAGTTAAATTAACCAATTTAAATATTGAATATGTGAAGTTACAGTTATAAAAATTTAAAATTATAATTATAAAATATTGATGAAATAGTTATAAATTGTTTGACTGATATAATATACATATATTTAATAAGGGCATTATTATTTTTATTTTAATTTTAAATTAAATCAAATTTTAAGAAATTTAGTTATGATTTTTAAATTTTATAAAAATTATTTGTAAATAAATTTACTTTATGAAATTTATATGTGACGTTTCCAAAAACTAATGCAATTATCGGAAAGAATGAAACAAGAGCCCCTTGGTGGAACCCACTAACGTGAACCGTGATTTGGATTTGGGGACCACCAACGAAGCAACGAGCGCAAGTGGGGTGTTGTTTCTATTGGCCGTAGAGCCGACCGGCGCATGATTGTCATTAGGCAGCCTCAAATATCAATCTCACTCTTCGCAATGATATTTAATTATATTTTTTTGGTTTTTTTAACTTTATAAGTCATTTAATGAAGCAATAAGAGTATTTATTAGTAGTTAAGGCAACATTATGATTGCACCCAAAAAAATTTAAGATGCCAGACTTTATTGTGTCAATAGATGAAAAGTAAAATAGTATGAAAAAATACTAGTTCGTATGGTTTCAAATTTTTATTTTTTTTAATGTTCTAAGTTCTTATATTTTTTTTCTGTTTATAACATTAGTTCTTATAATTTTAGAGGGACATTGACATAACACAAATTTTGTTAAAATTGTAACGTGCCCACTAATACCTCTAAATCTATACTGATTTGTTAAATAGGTGTTGAGTAATAAGAAAAATAAATTTAGAAAAAGCTAAATTAGATTAAAAAAAAGGCTAACTCAGAGTTAAAAAAAACTCTCAACTTAAAATATCTATAAATATAGCAAAAAATATTTAAAATATATTTTAATCTTGATTTTTAAACTTTAAGAACCGCAATTTTTTTAAAAAAGCAAGTCTTATACATTTTTTAAATATCCCAAAAATATATTTTTTATTTTTATAATATAAAAATAATTAATTTTAAAGTAAAAATTAATTTATCAAAAATTTAAAATTTAGCAATTGGGGTATTTGGGACAGGCCTAAATAAGCTCGAAGAGGTGAGCCTAAAAAAATAAATTTTACTTTAAATTAATTCTTTTTATACTATAAAAATACAAAATATATTTTTGGAATACTTAAAAAATATAGAAGACTCAATTTTTTCTAAAAAAATTGCGGGTCTTAAAGTTTAAAAATCAAGAGTAAAATACAGTCTAAATATTTTTTGAGATATTTTAAAGTGGAGTTTTTTTAATTCCAAAAATAACCTTTTTTATTTGATGCAGTTTTTTTAAATTTATTTTACCTATTAAAAGATCCAACTCAGCATGCACTTAATACATTAACAGAAGCTTAATGGTGTTAGCAAACATGTCAACAATCTTAACACTATTTGTGCCACATTAACGTCTTTATGAAACTATAAGGAATAACGTTGTAGACAAAAAAAAAGTATAATGACTTGAAACACACCCAAAAAAAAACCAAAGAAAGTATAGAAACTCCTAACAAAATTTAGCAAAGTAAATGGATCAAAATTCAAAAGTAGTGTTCTCCCACATTGTTTTTAATCCTTCATAATCATATTATAGTATCAAAAATTTATTTATGAAAAAACATAATCTTTAATCCCTATAATTTTATCAATTTTGCTTTTAATTTTGATAATTTTTTCAGTATTTTCAATCCTTATAAGGATTAAAATTACTGAAAAATAGAAACTATAAGAACCTGAAAAATAAAGATCACCCAATCTTTCTAAAATTATAGGATTGAAAATATTAAAAAAAAAACTACAAAGACTAAAATAAAACTTGATAAAATTATAAAAACTAAAGATTATGTTTTTCTTTATTTATCATAAAATTGATACAACTTACAAATCTAAGACTACGAGTTTGTCACAAATCTAAGATTAATTAAGGGCATCATCTTAGATTGCTCTTGATCTCATTTCGTGCCATGTAGCGCAAGCATTAATTTCTTGCAATAAATGTGTAATGATTATGATATAAGTTTAGCAAAATTTCTCCAAATCATCAATGGCAGTTTATTATATGTATAGGAGTATGGTAGTACTATATAGAATGCACATGCTCTTTACTTTCCTAGCCAATAGGAAAGCAGAGGCTGGATGCATCATTTCATTTGTCCAACCTAAATTATTGTAAATTTGTAATATTGATCTGGAATGCTTGTTGCGTAAATTTATATAAAATTAATTATAAATGGATGCGATTCTCTTCTATTCTACTGGTGAATGACATGAATTCCTTGTTCCTGTCTAAAAAGATAAATTTTTAGGGTAACCAGGGATGAAAATAATGGAATGAACAATGAAACTTGTGTAGAGATTCAGGGTTTAAATCCTTTTAATGTTTAAGGGCGGGGGAGATCCTACTCATCCCAAATTCGTTCCTGTTCTTTTAGTGGCTGGCTGGCCATGAAATATTCGTCAGGTTGAACCATAATAAGCGAAGAGCCCATTGTCAGGTTTAACATCACCAAGGTGGCTTTGCTATTCTTGTTAATCCATCATAAATTGAAATGTGTTTCAGCTAGTCGTTTCCAATGATGAAATTGAAATGCATCATAAATTGTTAATCGAAACTGACGTACTATTGACTATCATTTGCCAAACAATAAAAGTAGTTCCTCTGATAAAAACACGTTATTGCACTATGGGTGATTTGATCAGCATTCAGCAGCTTTTCAATCAAAACCATCCTTCTGTGTTGAAGCCATTTTTGTTTAAAAAGATTATTGCACTCGAGCAAGAAATAACAGATAATCATGCTAAGACACTGATAAGTATAAGATGGAAACTTCAATTCTAGATTATGAGAAATCTGGCGCTAGATGAGAAGGGTGTTGTGGAATTCTGTAAACACTGAATTAGTGCTGGAGAAACAGAATAAGGAGTTGAATCAAAGAGAAGATGGAGGAAAACTCCGGCATGAAGACAGAAGTAAAACCATAAGCCATAATATGACTAACTTCAAAATCACAGACTGCAGAAAAACTCGGAGCATGGCAATGATCAAATTGCTGTAACAATTCCATGGTGCTTAATGATTCTGTCTGTTAAAGGAGGGCATGTTACCAGTCAACTAAACTATGACAGTAAAATCCATTAAAGGCGAGGCTATGATCCTCTTTTCTTCACAGAAGTGCATGAGTGATCTGACATGGCCTGTACGCTATCAGAGTTCTACTGAAGTTGACGAAATCCAAAAGAAAAATAGAAAGAAAAAAACACATAGTTAGAACAGTAGGAAAGGTCCCAGTGAGGAAATTGAAGATCAAATATATCACAAGATTCACTAGGAGCCTCAATACGTTTAGATTAGTGAAGCTAGTCAGACAAAATGAAATACAGAATAAAGTAAGGATGAACTGCTGACCGTTTTCTTTGAAGCAGGATAAACACAGAAATAATGGAAACTAGTCTATTTGAGTACATGTAGCATAGAGATTAACCCGAGTGGAAACAGAAGATTATAGTCTGAAAAGAACCCCATACATCTGACATTGAAGCCTTCTTTAGAGTCAAACGACGTTCAACTCACTTCGAAAGGACAAAAAACTTGATACTCAAGGAGACAAGTCTTCCACAGTAGAGGCTCCTGAATTCGGCGGAAGAATCCGCACCCAAAAGTGGCAACCAGATATGCTTCCTTTGAGTTTCTAATGATCTCAATGCATAAGGCTCACAGACACCGAGCTTGTCGCTTCAGCCACTCGTGACATGAATGCCAACATAAAACTTCCCAGGCAGGAACAATATATGTGATGACCCAACATACAGAGTGACACAGGCTTGCAGATATTGTTGCCGCCCAAAAGGAACATTCATTATGCATAATGTCAGAGAATATATAGCATAGAATACGACCAACAACATAATTACAGACGTGATTGTCTGCAGGAACGACACCACTGTCGAATCTACCAAAGTACCCATTAATCCCAATTACTCATTATTATGAGACATGCCCGATTATTCCACCAAACCAAGACAAGTGAACTTTTGGATATGCAAATAGTAACTAAACTCCAAAACCAATCAGTACCCTCCCAACGTTACCCAGAACTCTAATGCAATTAACAGCTAATTAATTAAGACCGTGAACAAACTCAAGTAATGCATTATGCACCCCCCACAAACTAATTTTACAAGATGATAAGGTGGATGACCTAATGACCACTATAGCCCAAATTTCAATCATCTCCGGTGGGAAATAAAGTAAGAACCTTTCTCCCTCCAGCTGCGTTAGCCGATTCCATGTCCTCTACATATCCAGGTACCGGATTTTGCGGCATTGCTTGACCCATCCTGTTAAGCGGCTGAGGCTGCCTTGTCAGAAAAGTATGCTCGAAGCTCCCATTCGGCGGCGAACCAAAATGCCCCACTTGCCTGTGATACTGCTGCTGCAGTTGGGGATGGGCGGCGGCGGCCACTGCCGCTGCCATATGCTGCTGGTGGTGATGGTGATGCTGCAGAGCCGCCGGGACCGGCACAAACGGCAAGAAATGGTCGGAATTGGGCCTGGCTGCGGGGTGTAAGAAATGGGGCGGCACAGGGGCGCTTGCAAATAGATGATCAGTGGCAGGATCGGAGGAGGCACCCAACCCAGCTCCACCTCCTCCAACTCCGCTTCCGGCTCCACCGGCGGACAGCCCCTGCATGCGCTTCAAATAAAGTCGATATTTTTGCAAATGACTGGCCACGTTTTCCCTGGTCAAGCCGTCCACACTCATCAGCTGCATTATTGTTTTTGGCACAGCATTTTTGATACCCAAGTGAGCCACAGCATCCACGAACCTTTTGTGAAGCTGTGGAGTCCATACGAGACGAGGGCGCTTGAGGGTGCGTGCGGGCTCTTCCCCTGCGGTTCCAGAACCCAACTCGGCGGAATCAGCAAATTCAGCAGAGTTGGGCTGCGTGGGATTTCCGGGAGAAGGCAAGGGATTCGAAGGAGCTGCGGGCTGAGGGATTTGATGGTGAGGGCTATTACTGTGGGGGTTTCGGATGTCGAAAGCCATGGCAAGATCAGGCGTGATTAGGGTTTGGGAAAGAGGCATGAGATCCTCCGGGGAAGGAAGTTCCTCGTCCCATCTCGAGAACCAACTCGAGTCCTCCTCCTTCATTGTCGTCCAAATCTGAGCCACAATTTCCCCTTTTCCTGGTCTGGTCACTGGGTTGGGATAATCTGGAAAAAAAAAAGACTAGATTTTTGGATAAAGGTATTGAATAAAGAGCTGGATGTTGGAGTTTTGACAAGGAAAGTACGAGGATGGAAAGGAAACAGGGGAGGGGGAGGTAGTGCAGAATCTGTGTCTAGAATTCGAAGAGAGAGAGGGGGGGGGGAGTGATGGGGGGAGACAGGATTTCAGATGAAGGTGGTAGTGATAGTGGTGGCGGAGTTGGCGGCGGAGAGGGACGGGGAGTTGGAGAGGAGGGTGGAGAAAGGATCGAGGTGGATCTTGCTTTCTTCTTTTCAGCTTTTATTGAAGGTACTATTTGGCCATTTGCTGATCCTTTTATTATGTTTTTTTCCTGGATTTATTTTCCGGGATTTGAGGGGTCTTTTATTAACTTTGATAACTCTAGAGTGAGGCTCGCAACACATCCATTTTTTCACTCCGCTGCACACGGTGGCGCGTCCACTCCACTCTCCGGGGAGTGAAAATTAGACCCAACTCCAAACCCCTTGCAAGGTCACAGACCCAGGTCTAATCCATGATGACAGATATCAAAAGAACACGTGCAGAAGCGGCGCGTGAGAGACAGATGCAGGGGTGGGAGGTGGCGGCATGAAAAAAAAAAGAGATGTACCGGGGGGAGAGGGATGGAAAATATGCTTGGGGTATTGCTTGTAGGGTGCTGCAGATAGGGAATGAAGAACAGGAGTGGTGTATGGGTCAGAGCACATAGCAGGGATCCCAAATTTCAAAGATAAAAATTTGGAATTTAGGAATGCGAATAAGGAATCTATCACGAGGAGACCTACTAGCCTGTGTGCTCCTCCTTTATCGTTAGTTACGATCCCATTAAGAAAGAAAGAATTGGAACAACATGTGCTTCAAGAGGAATAAACAACACAATAAGAAGTGGCAGGGTAGTTTAGTACTTTAGCTGGGGACGGAGCTGAAAGCATTTAAAAAAAAAAAAAAAGAGGGAAGTGAAATGATAGGGCCAATGAGAGGAAGAGAGAGGGGGGCAGGAAATGATTCGAATGGGCAAGTGTGCAATTACTAGGAATCGTCCTCGCACCACAATTATTGCCCCCCAGTTTTCCATTTCGTGCCTCCCCTTTGTTCTCCTTTACTACTGCTATTAGTAATTATTTATCAATTTATCAATTATCAATAGTCATTTAATATGAAATTAATGAATAAAATAGCTTACTGCTCCGTATGACGCTTAGAAAATACTACAGCCTCAACTTATGCAAATTCATTTGTGTGTAATAATATACTCTAAGATTTAGATTCAGTGACTATCAAATACTTATATCATTTAAATTGTTGAAATACATGTTAATAATTTTAAATTCATTTTCACTTAAAATTAATAAATAAGTAAATTTATATGAACCGTTGATATATAATTAAATGGCTTAGATGGTGCGGGTACTCAATGCTTGCAATTAACGTATCTAAATCCATATAACTCTTTGTTTTTTTCATACATGTTTTCTCAAAATCAATAAAAGTTTTTAAAATTGTTAATCCTTTTTAAAATTTTAACAAGTTTTTATTTTTGATTCTATCATATATATATATATATATATTATTATGTATTTTCTCTTGCCAGTGTCTGATAGGGGTAAAAAAAAAAGTTATAAAAAAATCAATAACATGCCTTGAAATAAGATTAAATAAATTATTTTTTCACAACCTTATAAATAAGAAATGAAGAATCATGTTGGGAAGTGTATTGAAAAAGTGTTGATGAAAAAGACAAGAATCATGAACCATGAGTGTTAGGATCAATTGATAAAAGTTGTTCAGTTTAACTATATGTCTCGAGTTTAAGTCTTAAAAATGCAACAATATAAGTGGCCAAAGGTGCCCACTCTTATGATGCTTGTCATGTCTTGTTTTGATTAATTTGAGTCCTGTTAAACCTCACAACTCTAATGAGACAAGTTTAAGATATTGGGTGCTCACACAAAATAAAAAAACAGAACAAGGACGATGCTCACTAGATTTCGTTGAAGTGGAAAATAACAAGAGGCTCACTAGATTTCTTGAATGATATTACAAACCCAGTTGTTTAACAATCGGGTTTTAGTTAAACAAGGGAAAAAGACAAAACGCTAAAAACTAGCTTTTACAGAGTCTCCCGTCTTGCTAGGCCAGCCACATGGAGGAGCAAAAGCGTCTGCATATCATTAGGAGGTGAGTCCAAATCATGCACACTTCGTTCCAGGGATCAAGCAACAGAAATCAAGAAATCTGCTATCAACATCCATCTCATGCATGCACACACGTATGTATTGTGTTGATTTTTCTTTTCCGCAAGATGCAGAGAGAAAGTATTCACCAACAGTGGAAGCTGATCTTTCATAGAATATATATATAGAAATCAAAACACAATTATGTTACCATGCACTTCTTCTGATCTTAATTATAAAGAATTTTCTATGAACTTTTTATGCTCCATAACCCAATAAGTCATGTAGCCTTTCATCATTTTTAAAACAAGTTTACATGCGTTCTCGTACTCCTATTTGGCTGTTTATAAAAATTTAAAAACAGCAACCTCTCGTCTCAAGCATTTATTAATTTGTCCTCTTTACCCTTAATCAAAAGGAGAATTTACTAATAAGATCAATTATCACTCCCCTTCTATTTGGATGCAATTTCCATGCCCATCAACCTGATAAGATATGAACTGTCCAGATTATTAAATCTGGACAATCAAGATTTAAAGCTTTTAAATTTTTTTATTTTTATTTTAATTTATAATTATCAAAATAATTTTTTGATAAATCTGTTTATTACCAATTTAGAAAGTATAAATTTAAATTCAATGATCAAATTTGATATTAAAATTCTAAAATTTTAATTTTAATTCTACTAAAATAAAATTAATAAATATACTTTATCACCAATATGAATAGTCTAAATTTAATATTAAAATTTTTATAATGTTTATAAATTGACTATCCAAATTTATTCTTAATGGTTTAGATTCAAAATTTTTAACTTGTAATTTCTTAAAATATCCCACTAAAAGATTGTCTTTACTTTAATATTGCATTAATAAAATTTTTAAAATTTAATATTAAATCTTGCTATCCAAGGTGCATATATATAGTCAGATTAAAAAAATTACGAAAAATTAATATTAAATTTGATCTGAAATAAATTTGTATTATTCAGATTGATAATAAACATATTTATTAATATTTTATTTTAATAATTTTAAAATGAAATAAAAATAAAAAATTTAAATTTAAATCATCCAGATTTAAATCTAAAGACTGTCAACGTGACCAGTGTTGAACCGGGCACCCTCATATCTTGGTTATAAAGTCACGGTTCCTAGCCTCTTGTCTTCTATATTAAAATTTGCTTTTCCACAATACCCTCATTTATCTGGGGCATTTTTATTTATTTTGTTCATTAAATTCTAATCATTATTATTTTGCCAGAGGTGTCCTGAAAATTGTTACGAAAACTCTACATGTTAATTATATACAGTCAACTTTTTCTTAATTTGTTATTAATTAGTTAACACGACCGGTCAATTATTAAATAAAGGTATTTTTAAAGTAATTTGATATTCATAACATACTTATTGATACCAACTAATTAACATCAAATTCCTTAATCAGGATGAATTATTTATTTGTCTCGTATAAAAGCGACAAGAGGGAGTAATATTTTCTATTGAGTTGACATTTTATCCATAATTGTAGGAATGAAACTTTGTAATGACTCTGTAAATACAGGGCATTGTTAAATACTTCTTAATTTTTTTTTTTAAAAAGCTAGATAAGATCTTAATTTCTCAAAAAATTGTATATTTTTTCAATTAAACTTTTGTTAAGTTTCCCATATAAGTGTAATAATAATAATAGTTTAATTCGAATCCATTATTCTAAAAGTATTCAATAAATAAAATAAGTGTATAGTTCAAAAGAAAATTACAAAAATTACAGGATACCTTATATTTTGAGTTAAACAAAATTTTTAAAAAATATTTTATATTCTGATAAGAAGAGAATATTAAAAAAAAAAAAAAGCACACCTTACTACACTGAGAGAGGGGAGGGAGTGCATAAGAGTTAAGAATCAATCCCAACCAATTGTGTGGATTATTTATTGCCAGTGAATTGAAAATATACAATTGCACCATTTTGCCCCTCATAATGGATCCGAGCCTTCTGATATTTATGCTGATTAGTTAATTATAGCATTCCGTGTCATAACGTAAGAGGATCCTCAAATTTGTCATACATCAATTATCAGGCCATTTTATTTTTTGCGAGCCATCTGACATCAGCTTTTATAAGCCAATCATAGGATGAATGGGATCTTTTTCTGTCCTCCAGGTCAGCTTTCATCCCTCGCATAATTTTAAATTATTATTTTGCATCTGCCACATTTTTTACCAGATTTTTCATCCGTGAATGATAGTCAAGACCGTAAAGAAAAGGAAAATAGTTGACATGACTTGTTAATTAGTTAATTTGGTGAGTTTATAATATTAAGAGCATTATTTTTTTATTTCACAACTTTATTTATTAATTTATTAATATAATTTGTTAATTATTTAACTTGACTTTTGAATCTTTTATAAAACTTGTTCACTCAATTTGACTGAAAAGCACCATCATTAGTTATTAATTTTTTTACTTTACTTGTTAATTTATCAATATTAATTATAAATTACCTGGCTCCATCTATTAATAATCATATAAATATTGGTTGATAATTGTATAACTTTTACTTGTTAATTTATCAATATTAATTGTAAATTACATGACTTATCAATAATCATACCAACTCAATCATTTGTCCTAATTGTAGAATCTTTAATTGTCAATTCTCTAATTTTACTTGTTAATTTATAAATATCAATTGTCAATCAATTTTTTTCTTTTGCAAAAGGGCATTTCATTTTTTTTAGCCACCCATTTTGTTTCGTTCAGTCCAAAAATCCTGTAGTAAATTTTCATATTTTTTTAGACCCATTGGTAAATATTTATCTCTCTTAGTCCTTAATTAAAATTCTCCCTAATTATTATACTATTGATGTACCCTTTTTGTGTCTATATATATAAGAAAAAAAAGTTATATCACATAGTTTAAGAAAATTAATTTACTATAATAATGATGCTTCAAAATAAAAAATTAAACTTAAATATCCTTGTATTTAACTAAAATAAACCTACATTAACTGTTCCTTATAAATAAAAATTATGAATTTGTGATGGGCAATTTAAAAAAAATTATAATAAATGTTTATTAAAAATATATTTTGTTTATTAAAAAAACAACAAATAACGGTGTATTTTATATATAGAATCGGAGCAAGCATGAATTAGAATATGTTACAGTATGAATAATTAATAATGACTATTTGCATTGAATTTTAAAAATTTGTGTATAAAATATTTATGCGTCGATCTCTTCTTAAATGATTACCTTACCCCCTGGAATTGACGGAGTTGATCTAGTCTATAACATAAAGCGCTAAGATGATGTAGACTATTCTTTATTTTATTTTATTTCTGCAAAAAGGCGATTTTTTGGTTTTTATAATTACTCTTTTACCCTTGGAAGCCATGGGTTGCATAGTATGAATGTATTGGGCTTTTTTAAAATTAGTTTTGCTGTTGGAGCCCATTGCAAAAGAGGGCCTTGAAAAACTTAAAACGCGGAAGACGATGGTTAAACTTTGATAAGA